TGTTGCCCTTATGATTGTGTAATTCTGTGTGCATTGGCTCCTAGAGTCAGGTTTTTAAAGATACCACAGTCTCAAACTCTATTTGTATACGTAGAGACTTCCAGACTTCCATGCCCTCTCTCTTAGCCCTGATTCATAGTTCTAAAATATATTCAAATAAGGCAACGTTCAATAAAACTGTTGTAGTTGTTATATATAAATTTAGGATTTCATGTATCTATGTATTTATTACATTTATTTACTGCCCATGTCACTGTTGAGTGGCTCTGGGGACTACATCATAAAAACAAGAATATAAAAATATTAAACCCTATTAACAAAATTATCTAAAAATGAAATTACTTATACTCTAAAAACATACTTTTACCTGATTTTAATTTTCTCTTGATCTTGTTTTTTGATTTTATTCTTATATTTTATAATTAGTACTGTAGTTGTTTGAAGGTTCCTTATGTATTGCATAAATAGAAAGATAAAATATACATTTAATAAATTAAAAAGATAACAGAAACAGATCATATTACTTAATACTAGCCTTTTTTCCTAATTAAATGAGTTGTAAAGTCTTCAAAATTTATATTATGAAAATTAAATACATTTCTATACAGAACCTTTTGATTTGAACAATTTATTCGAGACTCTTTATGAGCATGCAAGGATTGTGTTGAGAACACAAAAGGTAAGCATCACTGTGGTTTAATGTTTAGTTTTATATGAAAACTAAATAATATTTATCAGCCATATTATTATCATGTTTAACCATTCATGGGATTAGAAATAGGACTATGGTGTGAATAAAATGATTAAAAGGAAGCAGCTATCTCAATTGCCTTGAGTTCCCATAGCAGAGATAGAATATTGTCAATACCTCATTGTGGGACAGAATAATGATTGCAACTTTGAAAGAGGCATTATGATCACTCCATTTTCAAGATACTGTCTTCTGTCCACTTTATTTGACAAATAATGTTCTATATCCAATTTCCCCTGTGTGGGGAAAGTGGTGGAACAATAGCTACAAAGCACCTACAACAAATGGATTATTTAGTTTCATGAGAAACAGGATTCAGATACTGGTACAGAATACATTGGTCATCTTCATGGAAGAGTTAGCAAGGCTTGCCTAATAGGAATATGACTATCCTTGTCTTGCTAAATGGCTTTTAAATTTTTGAACAAAGTATGCTCCTGGACTACCTAGGAAGTTTGGAAGTTGGTGGCACAAATTTACAGTGGTTATAGTTCTTCTTAAGACATTCTAGTTAGTTTTCATGCTGGGTGGGGAAGGTTCAGCACTTTGGTGATACATTATGTGATGCCTCAAGGCTTGGTCCTACTCCTATCCTATTATACATCTGCATAAAACCCATGGGAAACCCATTATATTATCAATATGCAGATGAAGGCCAGTTATATATCTCCATCTTGGGATGAATGGGGTTGTTAGGGAAGCTTGATCCAGTGTTTGTAGATTGTCAGAACATGAATAGGGAGGAATAGGTTCAACCTAAGAGAGAATGACTATTTCAACCACCAAATTATTTTATAAGATTGTGCTCTTTGTAGGATTGTGCTCCTACAGACTTGCTACCTGGCATTTGTCTTGGACTTATGGCTCCTTCTGGAATAGCAATTGGAAACTGTGGCCAGGAGGACATTTGTCCAACTTCAGTTGGGGTAACAATTTTGGGCTAACTTAGAAATAAGGGACATTGAAGCTGGTCACTCATGGTCTTGTCTTCTCCTACATGATTTATTTATGCATTAGTTTATATAATTACTTATCTCACTTTCCTGATTCTGGGCAGCTTACAAAGTTGAAAATACAAAAGAATAACACAAAACCAACCAAAAATTTAACCACAAAAATTATTAAAACATTAACAATAAAAACTATTAAAACCATAAAACATATGATTTGTGGGAGAGGACCATTCATTTTCCTAACAGTACAACTACTTAGCAGTCTCTTTACTAACATCACTGAATCCCCAAGCCATGTCTTCAGTCTCTTCCAAAAGGTTAACAAAGTCAGAGCCAATCTCGCTTTAGCAGGGATGATGTTCAAAGGCTGGACCATATGTCGGCAAATGCTCTCCGTCTGGGTCACATCAGATGACATTCCTTTGTGGATAGGACCTGCAACATGTTTTTTTCTGCTTCCTAATGGGATGGGTAGATGTCATTGGGAGAGGTGGGCCCTCAAATATCCCAGTTCTATGCCATGTAGGGCTTTATAGGTAATTGCTATTGAATTCAGAAGAAAATTGGTAGTCAATGCAACTTGTAGAGCAGAGACCTAATACATGCTGATGTAGATGCAAACATAACTGTCCATACCACCAATTTTGCACCAACTGAAGCTTCCAGATGGTCTTCAAGGGAAGCTCCATTTAGAGCCAATTACAATAATCCAAGAAGGAGATGACTAGGGCATGACCAAACATAAGACCTTGTGGTACAAGAATTACTGTAAATTTGCAATGTGTTAAACATGAAACTGCAATTAATCCAGAATATAGAGGCATGGGCAATTATGGGTATATCTCCTTGAGCTGCACTGGTTACAATTAGGATTCCAGATGCAATTCAGAAACCTATAGTTTCTCAAGGCATACAGCTTGGTTTTCCAAGGATTGTCTTCCATGACTTCTTCTGGCTTGTACAATTAGGCAGAGTTGACATGTTCCAAGTCCCATCCACTAAGTAGATCCCGTCAGGCCCATCTTTGTCACAGCATTGTTCTCTGGAACATCCTCCTCCTCTGCAAAATACATCTGGCCTCCACCCTGGCCACATTCAAAAGAGCTTTGAAAATCAGGCTCTTTCTCCATGACTTGGGTTAGAATCTTGCATGTTTCATTACCTTTTAGTGGTTGTTCTCTTTTTTTGGCTGAGGTTTTATTTTAAATAAATAAATGAATATCAGCTTTACATGGGACAATTTTAAAGATCTGGAAAATTCAGTTGGTGAAAAATCCAATGGCCAATATGCTTATTGGATAGTCTTGTTACAACTGCATAAGACTCTTACTCTTGGAGTATCATTGGCTATTGATACATTTACAAGGGCAAGATACCCAAGCCATAAATGGGTCAGAGCTTGGGTATCCTCATGACCACCAATTCTATACAGAACCTATTCTGTATATATTCTGCCTGCTCAGTCAGCAGACAGAGACTGTCTGTTGAAAATCTTAAATTATCAAGAAATATGGTGGGAGAGGTACCCAAAGCAACAATTTTTGTGATGACTCTCCTTTTAGGAACTGCTGGCTTCTCAAATAAAGAGTATCACCCACTCTCTGGCTTTCTGAAAGCTAGTAGAAACTTGGTTCTTCCAAAAGGTCTTTTGGACAAGTCCTCTAGAATTTCTGATACCAGGCATATTATATTAATTATAATTTGTACTTAATTTTATATTGTATTTCTGTTATTGTATATTATCTGTTGGTATCACTATTTCCTTGGGTGCAGCTGTTGTTTTTGTAGCCCACAGAAACTAGCCTTGATTGGATGAATATATAAAAGATAAATGTAATAAATAAATCTGCTCCTTCAACTATGCAAATAGAGTTAACTAACAAAAGACACTTATACGGAGGAAGAAATGGTCCTTTCAGGATATATGAACAAATGGTTTAAATAAATAATATGCTCGCTGCTTTAAAATTTTCTTTTTGGCAATTAAGGCATCCACATATGATATATTTGTGCATATATGATATTCAGCTGAAGTCTGTCAAACATTGAGTAAGTTGGCGGATAAGCCTATTTTCTCTCCTCCCCCCCCCACCCCCATTCTTGAGTTAATTGTTTTTCCACTGGGTGTGCATGAGCTCTTCATGCAAAGTGGGAAAAACTGAGAACATAGCAGGAGACAGAGAAGATGTGCATTATAATCTAGTGATGGATAGCAGAAACTGATGTATCTGCTCCCTTCCCTGAGGATGCTGAGGCAAATTATAACATGCACCATAATTTTACATTGTATTTCTGTTAATGTATGTCATTGTTAGCATTATTATTTCTTTGAATGTAGCTGTTGCTTTTATGCAGTGCTGAGATTATCTTTAAATGAGGTTTATAAATGCATAAGTGAATAAAATATAAATGTAATAAATAAATGCTTCTTAAACTATGCCATGATGACATCACAGTTACTTTCTAAAACTTCACTTGGCTTCCAAGAAATATTGCCTCTATGAATCTCTTCCCTCCCCCCCCCTATTTTCCTAAGAGAAAATGGGAAGAAAGAAAAAGAAGAAACAACAATAACCAATATCTCTTTCATTCCTGGGAAGAATTCTTATTAAAGAATTTTGAGACCTTGAGATTTTGATAATTAAAGGGTCATTGAATAAATGTGGTGGGTTACACTGAGGCCAGTCCTCAGATTTGAACTATTGGGATATGGAAGTCAGAATAGAGCTGGAAGGGACCTGGGAGGTCTTCTAGTCCAACCCCCTGCTCAAGCAGGAGACCCTATACTATTTCAGACAGGTGACTGTCAGGTCTTTTCTTTTTTTTAAAAAAAAACTCCAGTGATGAAGCCCCTGCAACTTCTAAAGGCAAGCTGAGAAACATGTTTAAACATGTTTAAACATGCAGAGGATAAAACCAGCGTCAAGACGAGCAGAACAGGGGCGAGAAGTGAACGTACTTTTGAGGGCAAGAGGTATCCAATGCTTTGGCGCGGTTGGAGGGCCCTTCGGGGCTTCTATGAGGGGAAAAGGAGGAGCCTTGTGACCTGTGGGGGCCACAGGGTGAAGTTTGAAGAAGGCATCTGGCGCCCTTTGGATGGGGAATGGCTGCTTCGTTGACTGTGGGGGGTAGAAAAGGCGCCCAAGGGAAAGAAGAGCATTTATCGTCGGGGGTGGGGAGGGAGGAAGGTGGTCGTGAGGAGGCACGTGCCGCTTGCAGGTGGCGGAGTTTCCCCCTCCCCCCCCCACCGTGTTCCTTCCCCCTTTTCGCTCGCGCCCGGTAACGGTCTCTAACGGTTTCTCACCCACCGCATTCTGAGGCAACCGCTGGCGTCAGAAGCGGGGAATCTCGCGCCGGTACCAAACCGGGGGGACGGGTTGGGGGAGGAGGACGCTGACACGCGGTGACCGCTTCGCTTGCCCTCGTCAGCCAGCCAGCCAGCCAGCAGGCGGCTCGTGCCCGCCTCGCCTCTCTTTCGCTCTCGCCCTGTCCCCTCCGCAGAGCAGGAGGGGGCGGCGACCGGCAAGGCAGACGGGTGAAAAGGGGGCTGTCAGACACCGGTGTCCCCCATGAACTCTGGTGGGGGAGACGCTGGTAGCCCCGGCGGTGGGGAACTACCGCAGCAAAAAACCACCTCGCCTTCTGTGCCGCCTGGGACAGCAGCTGGGAAAGCGACTGGAGTCCCGCCCGGGCCGGGCCCCAGTAGCCGCTCCGCGAAAGGCGGGACTGGCCAGAACGAGAAATCCGAGACCCGCTCGGTGTGTAGTAACAGCAGCTGGGAAGCCGGCGGGGGCGGTGCCGGCCCCATCTGCAAGATCTGCTTCCAGGGCGCTGAGCAGGTGAGCGCTGGGGTAGAGATGGGCTCGGGGGAGGGGGGAGAGGAGACTCGTCCATTGGCAAGGGTGGGCAGACAGATTTGCAGCCTGCCATCCTTCCCCCCCCCATCAGGCAGCAATTGTAGTTGTGTACAATCAGGAGACCCGATTGGGAAAGACACAGAGTCTCATGCGTCCGAATTACAGGTTAAGATCCCTTTAATGACTTTCAGGGAGAAAGAAGCAGAAAAGAAGGGGGAGCGCGCTTCCCCGCCCTCGCTCCATTTGTTACATCTTCGTTGGGAATATTGCTTCTTCAAATACGATTAGTGAAATAGTAGTAACTACACGGCTGGTCATCAGCACCACGGACAGCGCCAGTGGCTGCTTAGAAAAGCACTGCAGAAAAGAGGAAGTGAAGGATCCGGTTTCTCATTTCGCCACTGGGTTGAATCATCATAATATTGTAGTAGGCGGGGTTTAAGCTCCCAGACTAGACATGCTACCTCTTATATGTCAAGGTGGTAGCATGGTGGTGGCACCTTTCTGCATTCAGTAAGAACAAGTAAGGTTAACTTTCTTGTTACAATGACAAGTTATATAGAGGCTTGCTACTACATCTGCAGGTCAAAGAATTGGTTATTAACCATAAGCTGTTTTCTGATATATAGCTGCAGCATCTAGAGAATGTTAACAGGGATGAATGTCTTTCAATGAAGATAGCTTACGAAATTCACTTAAATAAATATGTGGCTTAGATCATTATAAATTGTAAACTATCACCTTATAACAGGTTACTTTTGTGTGCTTAATAATACTGCGATACATGTGTGTGTGTGCTTATATTGACATTTATTACTTGGCCTGTATTAATTGTTATATGGGAGTATCAATATGAGTGCAGCCTAGATCAGGATGCACCTTCATTTGGATCAAGAATCACACTTAATGTATAACAGGAATTACATTCTAAAACAGCTAACGAGACCAGAAATAAATAAAAATTGATTTAATTTGAGGGTAAACTTTAATTTAGACCAAAGTAATTGAATACAGCTAATATTATTGCTTTCCCAATGTCACAGTAAAAAGTATAATTTTGTAGCAAGTTTTCAAATGGTTTTGGGGATGTGGTACACCTTAGATGTAGAGGGTTTTTTTTGGCATGGATATTAAGGAAGTTAGTATATCCAGGAGCCATGCTTAGATTATTATTTGATGAAGTTTCATTTCACAGTTTCATTTTCCCCATTCCAGATGAGAAGCTATTAAGATGATCTGACTCCAGAGATTTATGAAATCTGATGGATTCTTGAATTTCCAGTGTATTTTCCTGAAGCAAGAATCAGTTATTCTATTAATGTTCCTTTTGATATACGGACTAAGAAAACAGAAGGGCCTTTCAAAGCTTAACTCAGTTGAGTGAACTGCAAACAAGTGGGTTGTAAATCACAGAGATATTAATGCTTATAAATTGTACATCATCCTGAAAGTTGAGATTGAGAATAGTAGGGAACCAAGCAGTAGTAATGTTTCTAATTCATGATAAGAATTAAAGTTCCAGCAAGCAGTCCCAAAAATATCAGGTTCAAGGTAGCAGATGTCACATTTCATCTGAGAGTCAGGAAAAGTACAATTTTAGAAACGATGCCACTGGCATAGTATCCAAGTACTTTCTCATCCCATCCAGGGACATCTCATTATAGACCTGATTAATTAAGCTTGGGCTCTGCAAATATTTGTTTTTTAGATTTTGACTCAGATCTGATCTTATTCCCAATCCTAGATGGTCTTGACTTTTCTACAATTAATCAAGAATGCAAAGGCCTGTATCTGTTGCCTCATGGTACATTAGGCTCCTCAGCTTCTAAGATGATAGGTTCATTTGCTTAGGATTTTTATATATGTAGCTGGACCCTGAAAGATCCATTGAGACAATCACTAAATATCCTCTTTAACAATGTGAAATCTAACACACACACACACACACACATCAGATTTTCTGGAGATGGAAATAAAGCTAGCCAACAGATAACTGGATTGTGTATAGTACAAATTTATCTTGATTGAGTTTGGCTTAGTATATTCAGTTATATCTGCTAAATGGCAACAAAGGCTGCAAAAAAGGCTTATTTTGTATCCTCCATTGCCTTCTTAGGTAGCTAGCCATAATTCTTTAGAGTGGTCAATTTCTTGACCATAAATAAATATTTTTTTTCTTATTGTAATTTACTCTGTAAAGTCCAGTGCAGGAGTCCTCACGCATCCATTGTGACACATTTGTGAGACATTTTGAGGATAGAATAATTTATTTTCATGCTCCTTGAAAATCTGCTTTTGTTATGCATTGTACTGGGATAAACGAGTAGGATTGTTTTCAGTTTTCATAGGATATGGGCAAGATGTTTGTGATGTATTACCTATTCTCTGGATGGATACAGAGAGTTGTAGATGTATTATGTAATGGAATAATTCCACCAGCTCTAAAGGAGTCGGCAATCTGTTCATTCCTGAAGAGTCTGTCTCTGTGTTCAGTCAATTTTGTCCTATGAGGATAAAATATTTTGGTGAAAATATGTTTGAGAAATTAATATTGTGAAGTCAATGCCCATGTGTTAATAACAACAGTTTTTGTAAAATTTAACAATAGCTTTATTTAAATAACATATATAATGTTCCCCATTGGCTTTTGCCATTGCTCTTTCCTACAGCAGATGTTTCTCTCAGAATTATAGTTGATTTATTCAGAAATATAGTTTGTATCAACATCAGTGACCTCAAAAATTTCATATTAAATCTTTGCAAGAGGAAGACCATGTTGCAGTTCCCAAATTCTCAACTGACTGCAATCCCTCAACAAGAATTTGTTTGTCATTTGAATGTACTCATAAACTCAATGGCATCATTGAAGGTCCTAATAACTTCTGTGGAAAATGCACTAATTATGCCTTTTCCTGAACAGAGCCAACCAAGCAACTGTTGTGCATGTATTGCCAATTTTATGCTTCATTTTTCTAATGTACTGTTCATAGGGTCCTTGCCCTTGCTCTTGATCTGAATGTTACAACTAGGCATAATATAGCAGCCATGCTGTTGAGTAGAATGCCTGTTTATATACATGTTAAATTTCTGTTGAAGAAATTGTACTAGCTGCTAATTAGATATCAAGCTATATTTTAGTTATGACATATAAAGCATTAAACAATTTGGGACAGGAAGCTTGGTAGGATGCTTGTACTATTACAGACTTACTCAGTCCCTAGGATAATTGGAAGATATTGTATTGTATTTTCCCACTATCACAGAATATCACTTTATAATCACTCATGGATAGACATGCTCTCTCTCTACAATCTGTACTACTCTTTTTCTTGAAATTAGCAAGGTCCCTACTGTTGGCATTTTGTAGATATTTGACGAAGACCTATCTCTTCACACATTTTCTCTGTATGAATATAATATGAAAAGATTTTCTTTAACATTAGATAACAGCTTTTTTCATCGTATCCGATTTTTTAAAGAAAAATAATTCATTATTCATTATTTCTTAAATGTTTTAAAAGTATTGCATATTTCATACTATTTTTTCATTAATGAATGCTATGATTTTTCTAAAATCAATAGCATTAGCATTTTCTCACAACATCCATTTATCAGTTCATGACCTTGGATTAAGCTTTGACCCTTTAACTACAAAAATATTTCATTCTTCATTCCTATCTTTGTCCTACTTAATTTACTTTATCATTTCACATTTGTTCATTTCACATTTACCCATGGATCTGGGTCCCACTTTGTGTCAGTGAACTGCTCTTTAACTAATATTTTATGTCAAGTTAGAATTTATTTATGATCCAAGACCAAACACACACAAAAAGACCAACAATACAATAAATACATAAAAGAAAAAAAATATGGACAGAAAATCCTGAAAGTATTGCAAGAAAACACAGTTAACAATAGCTGTGAGGAGAATAGGGGAGAAACTAGATGACGTCTATCAGCTATAGCAATTGACAGAAATTTTACAAATCTTCGAAGTTTCTGAAAAATGGTCACCCTAAAGAAGGGTAATGACATTGTAGCATATGTTTTAAGTGGTCTGGGGTAGTTGTTGTACTGGTGCATGAGCAAATGGAGAGAGAAAAAGGGAAGCAGCTCAATTCTAGCCTTGAAGTAAAGATATACTGTCTCAAGGACTGATGTGTTGACCTGGCTGCTGGCCAGGATTGTTGTGGGCCAGGCATAGACATCATTGCCATTGGTCAAGCCTTGCATATAGGTGTGGGGAACAAGATTTCTGGGATGAAGATAACTCCTTAATTGATGGACAACATGCTACTAGTTTAATCCAAAATTGGACAGCAAGCGTGAGGAAGAGTGGGGAAAAAATAGAGAAGAAATGAGACAACATGACAGTTACAAAGACTGTTGTAGAAGGGAATGGCTGGAGAAGAAAAGCCAGAGGAAATGTTGATGTGTGTGGAGCAGTTATTAGTTTGTGGTTGTAGAGAGAGAGAAGAAAAGTCAACAGGTGACTTGCCTGGAGGAATAGAAGCAAAGTCCCAGAGATGGCATATGGGTAGGAGGGAGTTGGCTGGCTATGGACAGAGTATTGGAGTCTTTGACAAAGCCCTAGTCTCTGCGGAAAGAATAAGAAAAAGATTCCCAAGAGAGGTTCATCGCCTAACAGAGAAGATGCAGATGATGATTAGCTGAACAGATTCAAGGAAAGAAGATTAATAGCATTTAGCACATTCATTCATAAATGCAGCACATTCCTTCCTTTAATTCTCTTGTGGTAATTCCAGAAATGGGTAAGGCAGACAAACTGAAAGAGGAAGAAGTTAAGCATTTAGGAGAATATTTAGAGGGAAATAATCTTTAGAAAAGAAAGTTGAGGAAAAAACCTAAAACGAGATAAAAACTAGGATCTTGTTGAAAATATCCATTGTAAATAGTTTTGTTACATATAGTGAAGAAGCATAAAAGCCTCTATTACCTTGGTTTCCCTATACCAATTGCCATTCTCATACTCCTCAATACACATCCAGTTCTAAAAAAATCCAGTCACACAGTGACAGGCCTCTTTGTTACAACAGAATTAAAGTTGTTAACAATTGTACATATTAAACTCAATTGTCAATGGGTAAAACAGACAATGCAATAGCACATGTGAAATAGATTCTTTCTCCTTATCTGAACAGAAAAAAAATACAGCTTTCATATGAGAGACTTATAAATACCAATGGTTGCCCTAATAGGTAGCATCTCAATTCATGCCAGGGCAAATTGTCTCATTTGAGGGGCACATATAATATTGAAAAAAATATCTAGGGACAGTCCAGGGAGGGGAATCAATTGCACTATAAAAGGGGTGTGAAATTGTGGCTCTTTTATTTTGCATATCTAAATCCTAAGTCATTTGCTTCAGGTAAATTAAAATTTTATCAAGATTCAACTCTGATAATGTTGAGAAGGAAACACCAACACATGGCAAATTATCATTAATTTCTCTTTTTAGAGTAGAATAGAACCTGTCTAATAAGGTGAGATGAATTAAGGAAAGTCCCCATTTGACTTGCTTTAGCCACAATTTGAGAGATTGAAGTCTTAAATAGATCCCAAGGAAAATGCAGTCTCATTTCAATTGCATTCAAGTGTTAAAGATTGGGTAGTGGACTCATATTTAAAAAATAAATAAATCAGATTTTTAAAATTTTTGATTGAATTCTTTCTAAGCTAAAATTGTTTCTAAGCTAAAAAAAATTAAACTATCTCCTTACAGATACACAACTGAGGCATATTAGATCTAATATTTTTAAAATAAATTTAATTGAGCTAGATGAAAACTTGAAGATTTGCAAAACCCAGAATTCTACCTTGTCTATCAGAACTTTAACTTTTTCAAAAACTACAGCAGCATTGATCTAGACCAGAGGACACCATTTGAACACCAGGGACAAGTTCCATGGAGAAAGGTTTTTCCACGGACCGGAGAGTGTGTGATTTCATGTGCTGCCTACATTCCACGGATGGGGCTTTGCTTATTTGTGTGGACCAGTTGCTGGCATGCTGTGGCCCAGTACCGGTCCATGAACCGGGGGTTGGGGACCTCTGATCTAGACTATCTATATACTATTAAAACTCTCATATATGTAACCTTTAACTGGGTGAATTTGTATATCATAGAGCAGTGTTTCCCAAACTTGACAATTTTAAGGCATGAGGACTTCAACTCCCAGAATTCCACAGCCAGCAACGCTGGCTGTGGAATTCTGGGAGTTGAAGTCCACATGCCTTAAAATAGTCAAGTTTGGGAAACACTGTCATAGAGTAAAATCTTTTCAACCAAAGTACCTCAAATGGGCTAATTTACAGAATGCATCCAAAACTGAGGACTCATGTCTCCCATGGAACTGATTTTTTTTTTAATTTTATAAACCACTTCATGACCCAAAAATTGACAGAAAGCATTTTATGATGTAATAAAAAAAATGTCATGAAACATTTCCTGTGCTATACAGCTTAACATAGGCTACATTCAAGCAGATACATCTCTGAATATTTCACTGAATTTCTAAGAACTTTTCAAGTACATTAGTTCTGTCATTGTTCAAAGCGTTGAGGAATCCGGTAAGGAAATCTCTGAAATGGTCACAGATTCTGTAGTTTTTTTTAAATAAAAACTGCTGACTTTTAATCATTTTCTTTCTAAGTAAAACTAATGGTTTATCCATCCATAATTAAAATATTCTCAGATTTACAGCTATGTAGGGTGAGTTTATGCATCATACTAAGACCTGGTTTGCTTGAATTTCAGTTGTCTGGTTTGTGTAATATACTAAGCCAAAACTAGGCAAATCACACTTTAGCTTAGTGATATACATTAATCAGGGCAGTGAGTAGGCTCACGAAAGCAGTGGAACTCTATTGAAGTAATTTAGCATTAAAAGTGTTTAAATATGGCTGGATGTTCTAAACTGTTTCATGTACAAGAATCAGAATTACAGATTTGAAATTCTGTATTTATTTCCAGTCCCTTTTTACATTATATTTCAAAACATGCTTGTAAATTAGCCAGAATACCAACTCCATATGTAATTGTATGGCAACTTCTAATTATTCTAATAGGTAATCCTAAAATCATTCTTTGTAATAGGATGATGGAATCCTATGATGGAAGGTATGAGTCAGTGGGATCTTAAATATGTTGCTTTATTTAGCTGTTTCTATCAAAGTTTAGGGAATTCAGCAAAGTTGCCTATCTGATTTAGATTTTATGCAAGTAATCTTATATAATTTTTTAATTAGCAAAAATATTCTTTCTATTTATTTTTGTTGTTTTTAATAGTTTTTTTTTCAAATTTGCAATTTTGTGTTACTGTTTTTAGTTTAACTCACAGATGCATAGAGCTGAATACATTAATAGATTTAGTTACAGTAACCTGCCCTTCCACTTCCTTTAAATTTCATTTTTTTCCAGATAGTTACAAGCATTCCGTTACGGTTGTGTTTTTCATATTCTACACATTCTCTTTTCACAGTAGTGTATATTTTTCTCCAATCCTTTTAATATGTTTTAACTAGCGGTCTACTTGAACATCTTTTCTTTTAATATATAATTTCATGTCTAGATAATAATGTCTGTTCTGAAATTTAACATCTATGCTTAATATATTGTTTCCTGACCTAGACAAATTTATCTGCTTCCCTTGCAACTTGGTCCATAAACAAGTGCTTCTGGGTTGAGTTCGTTCCTCCACTGATTTCAGAGGCAGTCACAGCAATGTTACTGAAGGAGGAAGGCAGCACTATTGTGGCTGTTTTTTATGAGGACAATCTAACTATCTGTAGAAGAGCTGAATAGTGAAACCATCTTTAGTCTCTTCAATTAAAAACTGTTATCTGCTTTGCTCATAAATTTAGCCTGGTATGAGGGAAGTGATTTCTGTGAGAGCTTGATCTTTTGCACATCTTGAAACAAATTCAGTAAAACCTGAGAAGACTGAGAAGACCTTATTCTATTTTAGAACAGGTCTTCATCTGCTGACACAATAATCTTAATTCAGAGTAGAATCTATATCGAAGATCTAAATGAGAAAGAATAAAATATATATATTCAAAATCATAATATTTTTCTTTTCATAGATGCCATAGTCTAATAATTAAGGATTACAATCTGAATTATTTCTGTGTATTAGAATTTTTATATATCTTTACATTTGTTGCATGCATTGTTGCATTTATTCCCTCTGATCCCTAATCTTCATTAGACTCTGACAATCTGGTTGAAAAACAAAACCCCTTGTTACTTCACACATTGATAAACTTTATTGTGAGAACCAAACAAGTGTAGTGCAAAAGTAAATCCTCAATTCTGAGACAAATTCTAAGAAAAACAACAACATAAAGAATAGTTACAGAGTTTGTGTTTTTCATTCCATAGTTGAAGAGATTAATCTGTGAATAAGAAAGGTAATAATTATTGCAAATGAATCTGCAAAATGATGTTGTTGAAAGAAACATTAGATTTATTCAGCCAATAAGACCTTTTTTTTTTTAAAAAAAAAGAGTTGTATTTTGGAATGTAAAAAGATTGATATTTATTTACATTTTTAATTTTTTCCTAGGGTGAGTTGTTAAATCCTTGTCGCTGTGATGGCTCTGTAAGATATACACATCAACTCTGTCTACTGAAGTGGATCAGTGAACGAGGATCATGGACTTGTGAACTCTGCTGCTATAGATACCATGTTATAGCAATTAAAATGAAAAGGCCTTGCCAGGTAATATAAAATAATTTCCACTATCAACATGCCACATCAACATAACACATTTCATTTAGCCTTTTCTTCTCATGCTAAAGTTTAGAGAAAAATCCATCCATCGATCGACCTTGCAGAAATCCACCCTCTCAATTTTCAGTTATCATTAAAAGAAATTCATAGAGTACCAGCAGAAAATGTCCTCCCAATGCAAATAACCAAAGCTTTTTCCCCATTAAGAGAATTTACTTCGCTAATATGCCAGCTGCCTTGTAAAGTAGGTCAACTGGACATATTCTCTTTTTGTTGTAGTAGTTGAGAAAATTCCTCAGAGATGTGAGGCAATTAAAGTACAAGCTTTACATTTATACTACCTTTTTTTTTTTTTTGAAAATGTGCTAGATTTCTATATGATCTGCCCTGGGTGTCTAATGAATCTAGAAGGCTTCCCGAGGTTGCCTGAGGACTTACCCTGTAACCTGGTGGGCAACTCTAGTTGCTTTGTAGAATAAAGAAGAGATAAGAGTGCTGCCAATACTAAGAGTCCATTGATTTTATCTCTGAGAAATGAAAAGAATAAAGAAATCTGTAGAATAAAAATAGTGAAAAATAAACGGTGAATATGATATGAGGCTATGTTTGAGCCTACCTTGAGACAATGCAGAAGTATGCTGTAAATTGTGTTGTAGAATGGTATCCAGCTATCTTGTTTTGAGTAGCTTAGTTCATGTTGGGGATGAGTGGTTAGGACATTGCTCTTCATCCACTGTGGCATGTCTGCCTATATTATTATTACTAGAATTGATTGATTATTAGGATTGAGTCAAGCCAGATGTTTAGAGTGGATTTGGCATTTTTATCCATCTATCAAGTTCTTCCTAAGGACCTGGGATAGGCAGATGTTCTTGTTTGATGATGTCATTGGTATCATTACCAGATGTAAGCTGTTCCGAGTAAAGCTGCTATTTGGAGTTAACTGATGGTGATTTTGTCAATGCTGATGGTGTTCAAATGATGCTCCATATGTTTTAGGATTGCACCCAAGGCACCTATTAGTATTGGTTCTGCTCTAAAGATTCTGCCAAAATCAAAATTAAGTCATCTACAATAGCTCTTAACTTTTATGATTCTTTCTTAATCTTTACACCTGTAGTCTTTTCATATTGAATTATATCTCTATTTAGTATTTCAAGAACTAAAATAAACAAAAGAAGAGATAGTGGGCAACCTTCTCTTGTTCCTTTTTGTATCTCACATGATTTAATTAAATCTCTGTTCATGATTATTTGTGGTTTCTGTGAGGTGTTAATCAATAGGAAGAGGTTGTTCCTCAATCTGGAAAGATAATCATGATATTCTATTATACATTACCACCTCAGGCCATGCCAGAAATCCTGACCTGGTGTCTTGTATAGGTCTAAATGAGCCAAAACAAATTTAATCTGAATCTCAACAGCACAGAAATAGCTCTGGATAAAGTTATTTGCCTTTTGAAGGAGCAATTCTAAATTTTGGGTGTCTTTCTACCCTTAGGGCTTCTGCTGAAAATGGAAGCCACGACTAGAGAGGCATTTACACAGTTGTGCCTATTGCAGCCCTATCTGCCAAAAGTGACTCATGTCTTCATCTCTATATGATTAGGCTTTGTAATGTACTCTGCATCACATTGCCTCTCACGAGGTCCCAGAAATTTTAGTGGGCACAAATGTTAGCGTTGAGAGCCAATTCTCCAGTTAGTGAATCCAATTCAAAATACTGTTTTTGGCTTGTATGTCTTATATATAAGATATATATCTTATATATTTAAGTTCAAGGATACCTTACAGACTATCTGCCCAAACTGGGCACAAGCAGGAAGGGGATGCTTAGGGTCCTGTCCCCATGCGAAAGCAAAAGGACAAAGAGTCTAAGGCAATCCTTCTGTATCATAGCTCCCTGGTTATACAGTATCCTACATTAGGAACCCACTTTATTTGCATTCATTCCTTAGAACAATGAAAATAGCTTTATTCCAGCAGGCATTTGGGGATTGATTTTTAGTACTGTTATGACTACATGGTATTTGAGCTTCTGGTTTTTTTAAAATGTGGATATCAGATTTATATATCTTTTCTTTTTAATTTTATTATGAAGCTTTTAGAATCTTGAGAGCTGAGTGTTGCTTAAATTCATATACATAAGAATAAGTTCTTGGAAATGAGATAGCATTAGAAGCTAAAAATCTCCACTAATGGACTTACAGTCTGCTCTCCTTTCATTCCCTGTTAGATAGCTAGGTGAACACAGATTTTCACAGAGCTGGGCAGTGGATGAACAAATCTTTGTTGGATTTGTTAGAAAAACCACCCAGACTCTAATTCATGATAAACTAATGAAGGATTATGCCAAGGATTAAAAACAAAAGCAGCTTAACATGTACTACTTATTCTGAAGTACAAGACTCACAGAACACAAAGGGCATGTACAGTTATATCATACGATAGCTACATGCAATAATCAGCACAACAAGGGAATAATTATTCCAATGTTTATTTTGCTACATAGGAAGTAAAATTGCTTTTCTTACTGTCTACCAATCAGGAAGAATCTTTCTCAACCTTCTAAAAGCTAGAAGATGGATTTTATTATTTTATTTACTAAGCTTATATATGTCTCTTTGGTTACAACTGAGTCTGGTTGTTTATCTTAATCCTCATGGATTCCACACAACTGCTTTCTACCACTTTTCTGCACCAGCAACCATCACTACTCTTAATGGATTCCAAATAGTAAAGAGCTGGCAAAATGACAAGATGGTCAGTCTTATTTGTCCCAAGTCAGATTTGCCTGGAATTTCTGAGGTTTTCATTCTGCTGGATTTCTGAATTGATTAACAACCTCTCCATATTTGTTACCTACACATATCCATATTTCTACTAGCAATCTCCCTTCCCCAGTTCACCATTTTGTCTTTTTCTCTTGGAATTGTCTTCTGAGCCTTGAAGTTCTTACTTTGTTTCTTTTCTTTTTACCTTTCCAGCCATCTCCAAGAGAAGAGAGGATATAAAAGAAGGGGGGAGAGAAGAGAGGATATAAAAGAAAGGAAGAAAGAAAAGAGGATATAAAAGAAGGGGGGAGAAGAGAGGATATAAAAGGAGAGGGGAGAGAAAAGAGGATATAAAAGGAGTAGTGAATCTGGTTTCTCCATTGACTTTGTTTGTCAGAAGGTTACAAAAGGGGATCACATGATCCTGGGACACTGTGACCATCATAAATATGAATCCGTTGCCAAGCATCCAAACGTAGATTGACCCTGGGGATGCTGCAATGGTCATAAGTGTGAAAAGTGGTCATAAGTCACTTTTTTCAGTGCCATTGTAACTTTGAACAGTCACTAAGCAAACTGTTGTAAGTTGAGGACTACCTGTATTTTATTACTTTTTTTTCCTTTTTTTTTTTAGTCATCAAGTTTTTGACACCTTGCTAAGCAACTGGTGGTACTCGAATATTCCCATATCCTAAAAGTGGTACAATCTGTGAAAATGTTGAAAAGCCCTACTCTACCCAACAGCCCTCCATCTCTGCTGGTTCTTAACTTGGATGGAATGTATAGTTGAAGAAGGAGTGAGGGGGAATGTTGGCAGTAGTACTGCATCTTCCCAGGGAGGAGGCAACAGATTCCAGAGAGGGACCAAAGACTAGAGGCTGAACAGTCCTGAACTGCATGGGAGGGGGAGGAAATGGTTTAGAATAGCCAATTATAACCACTTACCATGTTTCCTTGAAAATAAGACCTAACCAGTAAATAAGCCCTAGCCTTTTTTCAGGACGCTTGTAACAGAAGCCCCACCTCAAAAATAAACCCCAGTTAAGATTGTCAGCTAGACAGCTGCATTTAGCACCATATTTCCCTGAAAATAAGACCTAACCAGAAAATGCGTCTTTTGAAGCAAAAATTAATATAAGACCCAGTCTTATTTTCAAGGAAACACGGTATTAGCATTTCTTACTACTATTTCACTTTAAAAAAAACCTTCATGTTAAAGGAAAATTGCATTAAACTTTGCTATTAGATTTTCTTCAAGTCTTAAATAAGCACTGTATTAATTAAGCAAATACATTAATATGCTCCTCCTTGTCAATTAATTAAAATAATTTTATCCTTCCTGTTTAGCTATCATAAGTATCAGAAAATAGGTACAGACTTCTTTACCTTTTTTCTCCCAGTTAATGGTGACCTATATTTTTGTAACCCTAAAATGCATCAGAATAGCTACACTAGAATAGAATAGAATAAAATTATACAATAAAAAAATTATATCTTATAAATTCTAGTTTTAAATTGTGTAGCATCTTTCTTTAAACTGAACCTGAACATTGTATTACATTTATGAGAGTAACAGTTGCCCAAAGTTCTACGAGTCTGACTATTCCTTATTTCTTAGTTAAATCTGTAGGATTAATGGAACTCAGCTGATTGACTAGGATAGGGGATAAGAATTCCTTATCTCTAGATTTTCTCATTTCTGTGCATGCTGCAAGCAAATTATTTTTGGATTTGCTTTCTTGCATACACAATGAAATTGGCATCTAATATTTGTAAAATATATATTCTGAACATCCAAAATTTCTTATCATTTTTTTCAACATTGTATTTCTCTAAAAAAAGGATACATAAAATCTGTTCTCCATGTTTTGCCCATTAAATTTGTCCAGATGAATTTAGCTGAGATAAGGTAGAATTAAAGATTTCTGTTTTCTTGTCTAAGTTAAGCCCACCCAGAAGCTTTATGATGTGGTCATTTCTGCTATATTTTCAATATTATTACTGTTACCGTAATAGGCAAATGTTAATTATTAATTCATTTAGTATCATTATATTCTGTTTTTCTGTTGACTCTTTCAGAAAAGCTCACAACAATTAGAAAATGCATTGGTACACATGTATCACATATAAACATACCTACATACAAACCCTTCCCCCACACAAAACAGAACATCAGCATTAAGGCAGATATAAGATACTTTTTTCATCTATTTTA